CGGGGGGGGGGGGGGGGGGGTATCTGTATGTTGTATTTTTTGTTGAATGGCTCCGTGCTACTTCCGTTCCTTGTTTGTCCTTTGTGTGTCGTTATCTCTTCACATACCACTCTTACTGTGTCTCTTTTACTCTGCCTCTTTCCGTTGCGTTCTGTTGCTTCCTGTTTGTCTCTTGTTTTCTGGTTGTGTCTCTCGCTGCTCGTGTGTTTGTAGCTTTGCTCCTGTCTCTCAGCATTTAGCGCTTTACCTGCTGTTATTTTTTAACCTTCTAGTTCCTTGCAGATAGCGTTATTTGCAACTATTGAGTACAAAGTTGCTAAATTCATCCGTAGCAGTTGAGACGGTTGCATCCCTCTGTCTTTGAAATAAGAATTAGGGTATTTAGTCCAACGACTGATTTAAAATGATGAAACAAAGCAGAGCTTATGGGATTAATCAGCAAGCGCATTAGGGAGAGTAGTTATATTTGTGTGGTTAAAACCTAGGCGTTATGATGAAGAGTAGCAGCCGTGTGAGTAAAGACAGGCATTTGGTGAAGAAAAACAGCATATGTGTGGTGTGTATTTTAGGGACTTGGTTGATGGTATTGGGATTACTTTGGAGCTGGACACTGATGGCATTTGGTGTCTTCTCCCAGATATCTTTCCCCTCAGCTACACATTCACACTCAAACCAACGGAGGAAGCAACGCAAGCACAAGCAAGCAACGACAACAGCAAGAGCAACGGTTTCAAGACGTTACGTTTTGAATACCCTACATGGGTGTTGAATAAGGCGGTGTTCGACCGATTCAAGAACCCTCAATTTTTGAGCTTTGATATCCATCTAAAAGAGTTTAAAAATGAGACCAAAAATGAAATCTTCTTTGAACTCGACGGTCCTTGGGAAGGAATGTTCCTTCCAGCCAGCGAGAAGTCCGACGCACTCCTCAAGAAGAGGTAACCATGTTTGTCACTTTTACATCTGCCAAAAGACGAATGATAAATAATAATGATACTAATACTTGTAGTTACCATCATCTTTAAGTGGTGTTCCATAGCCATGTTTCTAGTTTGTAAGATTATTGAGTCGATTTTGATTATGGCTGTGCTGGTTCGAGTGCTCGTGCCTATTATGCTTATTTGGTCGACAATATTGACTCGCGAAAGGAATCTACTGAGAGCAACAAAGTGTATGATGTTGATAAAGACGCATTTGGCCTATAAATATAAGTCTGTAAACCTGTAGGCGTATCTCTAAATGTGGGGCATTCACTGCACATATTCACGTCGAATACCCGTCTGCTTGTGTTGAAATTGGCCAACATATATTTCCCCTCGCTGTGCACAGACTGAAGTATATATAATAGGTAGGACATTATCTGCTTGCGTATATTTGCCGTTTTTCTTGAACTTCCTTGAAGATCAATTTTTTAGAGGAGTGCTGCTCAAGATGTTACAACGCGGAGTGATTGATAAGGGAGTTTTAGCCGTTAACATACGATGGAGAGACATGTAAATATTTGCAACATCGTGTGTTTGTCTATGGACTGATGAGTTCTCACAATATGGAAATATTAATGGGTAGGCTTGTGAACGACCGCGTCCAGTCGCTGATGGCAAACCCGCTGTTTCTAGGAGTTAGATTGCACGTTTCTTTCTGTGCAGGTATGTAGTTTATGGGTCTGGAGGAACGATCAGCGAGTTGAAAGGATTTGAATTGAAGAGGCGAGGAGAGCTAGAGGTGATTAGGCGTCTACAGTCGGAAATATTCCCGATGTTTATGCATGGAAGCTCCAAAGAGGCAGCATTTGCTGCTGCGGCTGCAGTGGGAGAGCGGTATTTGCTGCTGTTGCAGCAACGCGGGGCTGCACTGCGGTCCAGGGAGCAGCTTCAGCAGCTACTGGTTTCCCGAAAGGTTCTGGCTAAGAGCGTTGCTGCTCAGTCTTTGAGCAAGTCTTTGAGCATTACAACGGCAGAAAGGCTGGCTGAGCTGCTTCAAAACAAAAGCTACTTAACCGACGCTCCCGTGTCTGTACACTTCCTCGTCTCTGCTCTGCCCCCCAAGACGCCTCTAGCAGCTCGTGCTTTACCGGTGCAGCTCCTGCAAGCGCAGCAGCAGCAGCAGCAGCAATACTTGCAAACCTGGTTGGGGCTGACGCCTGCTGCTGCTGCTGCTGCTGCCAAGCACCTCAGTCTGCTGATAGACTGGGAATACTATCTAGAGAAGATTGAGACGCAGCTGCTTAAACTACTCGTTATCCCAGCAATCAGACAAAACCTCAAAAACCCTCTTCCAAAACTCCAACTTCCCTCCTGGCTGCTCAGTCACCAGTCCATACACCTGAAACAGCAACACAAAATCGACCACTTCTTCAAACCTGTCGATTGTGGAGAGACATACACTCACAAACAGCAGCAACAAAAACTGCCCGCGGGCGGACAGTCTCGTGATGTGGACAGGGGGGCAACGGAAGCTTCTGCTGCAGCAACAACTGTAGAAGCCCAGCAGCAGCAACAGCCGAAGCAGCAGGAGCAGAAAATGCAGCACCAGCAACAGAAACTCCAACAGCGGCAGCAGCGCCAACAAGAAATTGCGCTGTTTAAAAATGATATTCAGGGGTGGATTGCAGCGCAAAGAATCAAATGGCAGAAACTCCGAGAGGTCAAAACCTGAACGCCAAGCAGCCTAAACCCGAAAACCTTGTCGTAATTGTTTTGCGAACAGATGAAGCCAGGTGGATTTCTTTCATGTTTGCAGGTTGCAAGTTTGCTGCTAAGGGTTGAAGGTTTAGGGTGTGTGGTTTGCGGTTTGCAGGAGCTGCGCGTGTTGCAGCGCCGTCGTGCTGGGGGCAATTTGAGTTATTCTATGGGTTTGAGTAGCGACGCTACGGTAAAGGAGCTATTAAGTTCATTTTCAAGGGTGGCAAATATGAGCAAAGCAGAATTGGGGGTTTTGCTTGGAGAGCGTTGGGAGGTGCTCGACTTCCACCGACAATGCAAAGAGGTGCTGTTCTTTGTTGTGTTTGAATTCATTGGTTGCGATCGTTTGCTTGTTTGTTATATCTGCTGCTTTCTTCGTTTTCTCGTTGGTTACGGTGTTGCTTGGTTTGGTTGTTGTGTCGTATGCTTTTTTTTGTTCGAGCCTGATTCGCCTTTGCGTCGTTTTTGTTGCGTTGTTCTGCTGTTTTTGTGTTCTGTTTGTCCATCTTCGGTTTTTTGTTTGTGTGTTTGGCTGTGTGTCTGCTCGCTTGTTTATCTCTCGGTTTTCCATTTTGTTTGATTTTTAAAGTTGCATCATCCAGCATATCTCGTTGTTTTATTCTGTCGACCCTCGTTTGCTGTTCGCCCTTTCTTGTTCATTTGAGCTGTAGGGCTGAAATTCACATTTTAGGGCTTAAGGTGCATGGTTTAGTGTCTGGGTGTGCAGGACGAGGGTTTGTTTTGCCTACGGCTGACGACCCCTTCTTCCCGTCGTTTTTTCTCAGTCCCTGTGCAGATATTCCGTCACCTGTATGTCAACAGCACAACCCAACTCAGCAATACCACAATCAGCAGCAACAGCAACGGCAACGGCAGCGGCAGTGGCAGCAGCAGCACCATTAACGGCATTCGAGTCAAGCCTTTGACAGGTCGTTACTTGTTGCCTCGGGGTCTGAAGCAGCTGCACTTGGCCGAACTTTCTCTCCTGGAGAAGGTCTACAGAACAAACAAAAGCTCCATTTATGCTTCCTTCCACCAACGCGCCGCAGGCATCTTCGAAGGCAACGTAAACCAGAAACTATAGCCTTACGGGGAAACCCAGACAAACGCAGAGCTTTAATGCGCAAGTAGCAAAACCGTCGTTCTACGGGCATGGCAGTTCGTGAATTTTAAACTCTAACCTTTGAGCGTAAATGCAGCACATTTGGACTATGGCGTAGGGTTTAGGATCTTGTGTTTGTCGTTTCAGCTGCCTCTGGACTTTGCGTTTTTGTCGCGTATGGGTAATATGATGGAAGCGCACACCACAGATATCCGGAGCTGTAAATCCTGAACCCCCTGAACCCTTAACCCTAAAAGCTTGCTTTAGATTCCCTAAGCCCTGAACCCTCAACTGCGACGTACATGCGGTGGGAAGGTCAAGGTATTTGTTGGCACTGTAGACGGTTTGTTTTTACTTGATTTGTTCCGGGAACATGTTTGTTCGCCCTTTTATCTGGATGTTTTGGTCGTTTGCCTGCCTGTTTGGTTTGTCTGTTTGGTTTTTCTGCTTGCCGTTATGTTTGTGTGTATTGTCTTTATTGGTTTGTTGGCCTTTAGTTGAATACGTTTTGCAATGCTTGTCTTGTTCGTTGTGTTAAAATTCGTGTAGGGTTTGCTTTTTGCCTTTGTACTTCGCCTTGTTATATTGTGATGAATGCTTGTATGTGTTTGTTTTTGTTGTTAATTTTTTTGTACTATGTTGAAGTGATTCGTTGGTCTATGGACGGGGGAATAATGATCTTCATAACAGTGTTGATTAGTTGATGCGTATTTACGTTGATGACGATGATGGTTTAAGGTGTATGTGCATTTGCGTTTGTTATATTCAGTGATCGGCCCCCCAGGAAATTTTTTGTCCGTGGGTTTCTCTCGCGTTTCTCCTCCTGGTGTAGCCACCACTCCTCTAGGCTCTTCTACCCTGTCAGTCTATGGAAGCAGCTTTAAACCCCTTTTTGTTCATGTCATCCACAGCAACAGCAGAGACAAACAAGGCGGCCCGAGCTCATTGCGTACACCTGACCGCCTTTTCTGTGCTGTCTATGAACCCCACACGCACGATCCCGGTTCCCCCAATCCTCTCGATCCCACCCAAACATGCACCAACACATCGGCTGCTTTCTTCATCGGCGGAAGTATGCACAAAGAAATCAATCCTTCCCTATTGCAGCAGCAGCTGCTGCAAAGAGCGCTAGAGCAGCAGCAAAAGGACCAGCAAGATGAGGAGGAGGAGGAAGAGGAGGAGGAGATGGAGGGGTGTCGTTCCACCCGTACAGCTGACCCCATTTCAGGTATATGCGCGGCTGATAGCGCGGATGATATCTTTGCTTCTGTCGACACCGAAAAAATCAGTAATTTCAAGGCAGCGCACTCGCTGCATAGGCCTCTGTGCCGCTTCTTCTGTAGCAGCAGCAGCACCAGCGGCAGCACTGCAGCAGCTGCTGCTGCAGCAGCTCGCGCGCAACAGAAGGACATATCACAAACTCTGAGAGCGTTGGAGGAATACTTATATGCGAAGCAACAGCAGCAGCATGCATCTCCAGCAGCGGCAGCAGGGGAGATTTCCTCGCACAGCAGCCGCAGCCACAGCAATAGCACCAGCAAGTACATCATTTTGCTGCTCTCTACGTTACCTTATAAGGAACTGGGTCATTGGGCAAGAAGCGCTTCCCTAACGAATCCTTATAATTCTTCATTCACGATTCCTATTATCTCTCTCGAGCCCCAGACCAAACTCCGCACTTTAAGCAAAACTCATTTCGCTGAGTTCGTGCTTACAAGCCCTAAACCTTAAGCGCGAATACTACTGCAACCCCAGTTAAACGCTCAGCCCCTACGAACCCTTAACCCCTGTCTTGGCTCTCTGTGGACTCCTTGCGTCTACCCGATAAGACTCCACTTCGTCTGTTTCTGTTGTTGCTGCTGCTGTTGCTACTGCTGCTATTTATGCAGGGTGGCATTTCGGGAGTCTCAAGGTTTGCTGCTGCAGCAGCAGGAATTGTTTGAAGCATCTCTTTGGCTGTCACGCACGATGTCCTTTCCTTTGGGAATGGCAATTAAGGGGTTGGGTTCGGCAGACCCAACTACTGCTGGTGCTGCTGATGCTGCACAGCCCAGCGGCCCAGAAACAGAAGCAGGAGTTCCACCTCCTCTAGGAGGTTTTAGGGGGCCTCGCGAGACGATGAAGATTCTGTACGACAGTTTCTTCGCCCAGACCCTGAGACAGCACAAAGGCATCTTGTGGAGCAGCAACTGTGGCACCAGCAACAGCAGCAGCAGCCATGTGGACTTCGTGCTGCGGCAGAAGGAGACAGACATCGGCGGTGCATGTGTATCAGCTTCAGCATACGGCGACTTTGACTTGAAGGAAAGACAGAACCCCAAAACGAACCCAGGAATATACCGTTACATCTGCTACGAACTGGCCCTAGGAGACTCAGTAAATCCTAAATGCCAGACCCTAATCAAACCCTAATTCAATCCTGCATAGGAATTATCACAGTGGATTTGCAGACGCTGCAGGGGTTCGGGTTTGCAGGCAAACGGAACGCAGGTGAAGGGTTTAGGGGTTTGGGCGTAGTGTGTGCGTTCAGCTGATTTTCAACAGCGTCCGTTTGGCAGACAAAGTCGATCCTGAGTACTTGAGTGCTTCTGATTGGCTTCGGTCTGAGGGAGATGCACTAGCTGCAGCAGCTGCTGCTGCTGCAGCATCTGGAAATGATCGTGCTGCTGACGACGATGAGGTAGAGGCAGCAGAAGCTACACCAACAGTAGCGCAGGGCCAGCCAGCAGCGGATTTGGCTCTTGAAGGTTTCCATTCGCCTACGCAGTTTTCACCGGCCGCCTTCAGAGTAAACCCTAAACCGTAGAACCGAAGCTCCAGGAATTGTTATCTTGTAGAATGCAGGGCTGGATAGGTGTTAAGTCGGCGAGGGTTTGGGGTCGAGGTCTTAGCGTTTGTTTTTTAGGATTTAGTGCTTAGGGTGAATGATTCGCTTTCTGTGTTTGGGTCCGGCCGTGTTTTTTTGTCTAGGTTTTAGGGTTTGCTTTGCAGCGTTTATTCGGGTGTCTATACACCTTGCAACAGAAGCGAGCAGCCGAGGGGAACCGTCTCTCTAGCTTTATCTTTTCTGCCTTTTACCCCTGGATCTGCGACCCGAGGACAATCTTATTCGATGTCGCCCTCAAACACAAAGTAACACACAAGCGCTACGCGCCTTAAACCCTACAACCCGCCTCTAGTGGTAGTCGTCGGCCCGCGCTGGTGCTGAGAGGTTAGGCCTTAGGGTTCTTTAGGGTCTACAGTTGGAGGTAGGAATCAAATGGTTAACGATTTGTGTGGTAAACGCTGCAGGGTTGAGGGTTCGGTGTCTAGTTGTTGTTTTGGGTTTCGCTTAGGTGCAACGGCATGCTGAGGTGTATTTGCTGTTGCTCCTCAAAGAGTTGTCTTCTTCATTTTCTTTCAAAGTTATTGCAGCGGACCTGCGCCGGATCATGGTGTCATCACAGCTCGTTGCTGCTCCAGCAGCGCAGCAGCAGCTGCAGCACGCGCTGCAGCAGCTGCAGGAGCAGCCGCTCTTTGAAGCGCTTGCCATGTACCCTTCCGACTCTTTTGTAGCTGTTTTGCAGCTCGACGAGAGAGACTGGATTGGGTACCGAGAGTTTGTACCCTTCGCCAACAGCAGCAGCAGCAGCAGCAGCACCAACAGCAGCTTGGTGGCTGAGGGGGTGTGTGATCATCTTCATGTTCTGCGCTGCTTCCCACCGCCGCTGCTTCACTTCATACAAACAGCAATTGACCGTGCGGTGCAGCTGCCCCTGCTGCAGCTACTGCACCGAATGAACGAACACGAAGACGACTTCTGCCAAAGCAGCAGCAACAGCGGCAGCAGCAGCAATCAGTGGACGCGGGACGAAGTGGCAGCGAAGCTGTCGGAGTTGGCCGTGGCTTTTTGGTTTGCTGCTGTCGATGAAGATGAAGAGCAGCTAACCTCAAATGAGAGTATCAGAGAGAGACAAAACAGAAACAAGCGAAAAAACAAATCGCTTCTACAGACATTCAAACGCTACCTCAACGATCCCATGCAACTTTTGCGAAGTACGCAACACGATGCACAAGGGCAAGGGATTATGGTCTATGGTGTAGGACTAAGGTTTCTGGTCTAGGGATTAGGGTTTATTGTCTACAGTTTAGGGGTTGTGATTTTGGCTCACAGAGTACGGCTCCGCCAGCGAGATTCGGCAGAGTAAAGAGCTCTCCTTCAAGTGAGGTTTTTGGGGTTATAGCGTTCTGTGTAGGTGTAGAGTTAGTTCGTTTGTGCCAGTCTCTCCTTCGTTTCTGTTGGATTGTCCCCCGCCTACTGTTTATTTACCTATTCGCTGGTTGGTTTTCTCTGCTACATGTAGGTAAATTGTGTGTTTCTGTATTTGTCGGCATGTGTATTTGTATATTCCTTCATTCTTTCTCTATTCAGTCTGTATTTCTTTGTTCAGGTGTTTGTTGTCTGTGCTTGACACTAGTGCTGTGAGTGTTGCGGCGAGCTAAGGGATGCGCATTTGAGTTATTTTTCCAGCGCTTGCTTAGGTGTAGCTGCAGCTCTGCTCTCGTTGAGTTGGATGCGCAGGTCTCTACAGCTTCCTGCCTGTTTCGGTTCCCGAATTTGGTCTTCTTCTTGGCGGCACTTGGCAGTTTCGTTTGTTTGTCGTTTGATGGAGGTCGACCAGAACATTGACTACCAGCAACAAAGCTGGGCAGAGGCGCTCGCGGTGAGGGTTTAGGGTTTAGGGCTTGTGTGATATGCAGTGAGGATTTCGGCTTCGAATGCCTTGGGTTCGCTGGTTGCTTGTGTTATTTCTTTTCTCTGTTCATTGTTTATTTATTGTCTGTTGCCTGTGGATATTAATGTCGTGTCTAATTGTTTGGGTTTCCGCTGGGTTTGGATCAGGAGAGGTCGCACAGTTTGTATACACTGGCTGGGGAATCGGATGGTTTATCGTTTAGTTGGGTATCTCCGCTTTCTTCTCTGTACATCGCCGATGTCTTTTGCCCTTCGTGCAACCTCGTTAAAGATCTTGAAGTGGTTTCTGCATTGGAAGATGTTCTTGCGGAGACAGTAGACGGGCAACAGGTCGTACTCAAAGTCTGGTGAGGGTCAAGTTTTGGGGGTTAGGGTTACTTACCCCTTAGAGGGCTTAGGGTTTAGGGGGTTAGCATTTTGGGGGTTTAAGGGATTAGCGGCTAGGGTCGAATCAATCAGGTCTAAGGGTTTGGCGTTAGGCATGGGAGGCTCTCGCGTCGCTGTAGAATTGCCAGGATTTAAACACCATTACGATGGAGTCTGGTTTTGGATGTATGGCATTTGGGGTTTATCGTTTGGAGTTTTGGCTCTGCAGCAAGTGCCCGTCCTGCGGCGCGGCGCTGGATGACGACTTGCTAGAAGGCCACCTCCTCCGTGCTCTTCAGGAAATGCACTATGCATTCTTAGTGATTCCGAAACCCTAAACCCTAAGCACTAAACAGAATTCATTTTCTCTTGCAATTGTACCCTAAAACTAATATGCAAACCCTCAACCCGAATTTTCGTCCAAGCTTTGAGCAATGATAAACCCTGGAGTTGGTTGAGATTCTTAACCTAAACTGTCAACTGCAAGCTCCAAACTCTAAACCCTAGAGCTCCTGTGGGGTTGGGATTGGTGTTGGCTGCAGGCCCAGGACTTCTATTGCGTTGGCTGTAACTCCGTCTGCGTTACACGTCTCCGAGAAAAGTGCAAGTGTGTCATGTTTTAGACTTCTAGGGTTACGATCAGATTCTAGGATTTAGGATTAGCGGATTAGGGTTTGACTCGAAGCTCGGTTTGATGTTGTGGTCTCTTCTTCGTGCAGGTGCGGCAAACCCTTCAGATCGCGTCTGGACCCGAAGATTTGGGAGTAAGAAAATTCTTCCCACGCATCTGGGGTTTAGGGTTTAGGTTTTGTGATGTGGGGCTTAGGGGGTTTGCTGTGTCTTGCGGAGTTTGGCGGCTTCAGGGAGTTTCTACAGACGACACAAGAGGTAGCTGTAGAAATGGGATTTGCAACCCTCCAGTCGTGCCTCGTGCAGATCCAGGAGGCCTGGTGTTAGGGTTTGGGGTGAGGGCCCCATTCCGTTTTTTTGAAAAATCCGACATTGTTTTTAGTTTGAATACTTCTAGATGAAACCTCCGCCTTTTCGGCTGTAGGTATATCAGACAGCTACTCTGCGAGTACACTAAACCTAGGGTATATTTTTAGAGTCCCCTTGAAACCTAGCCCATAAAGCGCATAGCAGCATCCAGACTACTAGGCTGGTTGTACAAATGCGGGTACTACCATATGGAACAAAATGTTTTGAGCTAGAAGTAGCAATAACTGCAGCCGTCATTGTGTGTATGCACTCCATTCAGCAGTGTACAATGGCACTGCAGGAAGCAAGTACTTTTATAGGACAATAACCATCAACGAACTGGTATGCGATCCATCATTTTATATTGCTAAGAATGTATAAACCAAGTTAGCAGAAGATGAGTCGAGATAAGGACATCGACAACCTGTTTGTTGCCGACAGAGGAACAGGATAAGTAAGAGGTTTTCTCCTCTACTATGGTGAGGGCTTAGATGATAGTGTCTAGAGGTGGGGTTGTAGGATTCAGAGTGTTTCCTTGCCGAATATCAACAAGCGCTTTGCTTGTAAAGGTGAAGAAAACGATGAACAAGGAGTTGTAAGCAATGCAAGGAGCGGCACGTTCTCTGCTTTTTGACCGTACATAATAGTATATTATTATTTTTGTCTAAATAAATAAAATGTCTCTATTGAAAGGCTATTGGCACTGCAACTCCATTTTGCCGCGGCTTTGGCGGCATCCCAAAGGAGCTCGCCGGTGGCCCCTGTTATAGTGAACAGCCGCTTGTCTAGCGATAATGGCACCTGCCTGCTTTGCTTGGGTCCTCTGGCTCATTAACCTACTGTGGACCCCCGCTTTTCTTTCTGCACATGACAGAGCTACCGTTAGCTCACCCCATTTCACATGGGTTCGCAACTTATCTGGCTGAAGATACTACACCACTCTTTTAGCGGTCAACGAAGCAGACCCTAACAAAACTTCACAGAGTACAGGCCCCTTCAAGAATTCTCCCTAGGAAGCTCTTGTCCATCCGACGTCGTAGATCTGATGACGAGCTGACCACTGCACATCTGCTCGCTAGTGACCCTAAACATACGCTCTTCTGAAGGTCGGCGCGCCTTCAGTTGTAAACCATTAACTGTTATCCTGACCAATGAAACTCTTAAAGGCTTTCATATCGAAGAGTGCCTCACATTGGCTCGTAGCCGCGTCTACCCTCCGAACTGCTGTAGTGCCCTCACTGCGCAACACTCTGCAACTATCAGACTCTGTGGTATTACCAGCCTCTCGCCACCATGGCACCTTTACATCCTCATCAATCGGGTGAGCTGGCTCTCCCCCCCCCCCCCCCCCCCCCCCCCCCC